ATGAAACCCCACCCTGTACTGGTTTCATATTAACTGTGAAAGGCCAGTAGTGCTGTTATCTGTGGTTTAGAGCTTGAGGACACAACACTTTTCCTTCAAAACCTGGTTATCTTCCAACCCAGGGAGCTTTCTCGGGTCTCAAGGCTCATTACTTTTTAAGTAATGGATAATTGAAATATTAGTTCAAAGGTGACTTTTCTAAAATGTAGGACTTTATTTTATTATTTCCAGACTCTCTATAATGAGTACTCATCTCAGCAAAAATAAAGTTTGCTTCGTCTCACCCATATTCATTTTTAAGTTTTAATCTTTCATTTGTTCTCTGGATTGAAAAAAAAGCCATTTGTTTTGCTTTGAACTTGGCATTCTCAAATGAGAAGTATGGCATTCTGTGTTCTCTGCTGGGTTCCCCCTCCTTGCACTGGATCGAGTTAGGATTAGTCAACTCTCCCCTGTATGGGAAAATGTTGATGAATAATGCTAAGAATTTCATGAGTTTCATAAAAGCCAAAATGAGATTGCTATTTGAGATGAGTACCCTAAAATACAAAATGTAATGTTTTGGAGGTATTTTCGTGATACAGTAGATGTGAGCGAGTGATTGATCACACCCTGATGAATATCAGAACTTTTTTCCGGCTGTGAATGGATGTGCCAGCTGCCCCTTTGGAGCACCGCTAGTGGCTGCAGGATGGAGTCTTGGTAATTAGACCCTGGAGTATTATTTTATGACATCTACTTCTCCTAGCCTAAGTGTACAGCCGACTGACCAAACTCAGCAAGGCATTGGTAAGTCACGTGCCATCTTACAGAGTAGAACTCCCATTTGAGGAAAAACCAAACCTCCCAACTCTAGTACCGGAGACTCTGTAGTCCTTGCTGTACATGTTCTGATAATGTCTGGCATCCGTTTTAGAATTCAGAGCAGAGAGATACTCAGCATTCTCTTGGGCCGGTTACTTGCCAGAACACCGGAATAGGTAACAAGTATCTACATGTTTCCATTATTCTTAATGCCACATGTATGTGCAATGCTTAACTTTTCAGAATGTTTTCATATCTTTTCTTTTTTTTAAGATTTTATTTATTTATTCATGAGAAACACACAGAGGCAGAGACACAGGCAGAGGGAGAAGCAGTCTCCCTGGGAGAACCCGATTTGGGACTCAAGTCCAGGACCCCGGGGATCATGCCCTGAGCCGAAGGCAGATGTTCAGCCACTGAGCCACCCAGGCGTCCCTCATATCTTTTCTTGATTTAATGAATGTTTCCACACAGTGGACATGAGTCAGATGGTACTGTCTGCATTCTATAGATGAGGAAACTAAAGCTCAAAGACTTGACTTTCCACTTCCTCTCATGTCACAGAAAGAAATACAGCCAAGGCCACGTGGTTCCAAACCTCAGATACCTTTTCTGGATGAACTGTGGTGAAGGGCAGGGAGTCCATTTGAATCCTACCTCTTCTATGTCACAGTTCTGTGACCTTGAGTTTGAAAGCCTCAGTTTTCTTATGTGTGGAGAGACTGCCTTCTTATGGGGTCATTAGGGCAAAAGGACAATTTAAGTGTAGTCTCTAAACCTGATGAGCACCCAGTATGTGGCAGTCATAGATATAATTTATTCTGTTCTTCTCACAGCTGAGGTGTTGGGCTCCATGGTGTGTCTCCCTCAAGCCTACAGGATCTGGGTATCTAAAATTCTAGGCCTATAATCCACAGTCAGTGAAAGACAGAATGCTGGTGCATTCCTAAAAATTACACGGGGAGTGACTGGATCTCTGGGGTCCTAGATGATCTTCCCCCTCCGCAGGAGAGTTGCTATGATGGGGGATGAGATCCTCTGAAGGTAAGAGGATGAGCAGAGCATAGTAGAAAAAGTGGAAGGTGGTTTTTGAGCAAACCCTGGAATTTGCTGTTCAGATATATTAGCAATTCGTTTGAAGAAAAATGGAGTAGGTATAATGGGTTTTAGTTAGTGTGGCATCAAGAAAAAAAGGGAATTCTGACCACCCTGGCAGGAATTTACTTAGATTCTAAATTGCCACTGGTAAATAACACAATCATGACTGCGTTAACACAAGAAGCCGTGTCGTCTTACCCATTCTCAAAATCTATCTCATGTACTAACAGCGAATATCCTGCTGTGATGAAGTCTGTCTTTCATGGGTATGCCAAGGAAGGTTACTTCTGAAACTCAAGCATCTGGGCCCTCAATCCTGTCCTCTGTCTCTGAATCACAGAAAGCTATACTCCTTAACTTCTGAGAAGGTGTCTTTTTAAACCACACGAAAAGCATTATTGCCCTGTATCTGGATCTTCTTGTACCCATTCAAAAATAAAGCAACTCCTCTAAAATGAGAGATCCCTCTGCTTTCCTGCATGAAATGTGAGACATGGTACAGAAAATGGAGTTCTCTGAGCTCTTTAATGTTTGAATACCATAGTGAGTTTTCTGTGCAGTTTTTTTTTTAAATGTGGCATCTACATACACATGTGCCCACCTGCATTTCATGAAAGGCTACAATTTCCAGGTAAGACAGTATTATCATAAAAGCTAATTTGCTTTGTAACCTAACTTAGGTCTTAGACAAGGTGCTTAAACTTTCCAAGTTACCTGTAAAATGAGAATAAGAAAAGCTGCCTCATAGAGCAGTTACTGAGAAGATAAGCTCTTAGTAAAAACTCAAATGTTAATTTACTTTTTTTTTTTAACCTAGAAGCACTTGTTTCACTTTCTGAATGTGAACATTTCCTGAATAAAGGTGAATTGCTGATGCCTTTGTTCACGGTGGAGGTAGTGGTCAGAGAAAGGGAGTGTCTTCTTGCCACAGAGAGAGTGGGCCTCTAGCCAAGGGCTCGGCAGTGTAGCATTATTGTAACAAATTCTTTTTTCTTAATATAGAAGCTTGGAAAATACAGAAATGCATAAAAGTTATTTGCAACCTTACCTTTTATTTTTTTATAAGTATGCAAGGAGAAACTTTTTTTTTTAAGATGTATTTATATATTTATTCAGAGAGAGAGAGAAAGAGACACAGGCAGAGTGAGAAGCAGGCTCCATGCAGGAAGCCTGATGTGGGACTTGATCCCAGCTCTCCAGGATCACGCCCTGGGCTGCAGGTGGCACTAAACCGCTGAGCCACCCGGGCTGCCCTACAACCTTACCTTTTAGAAATAATAAGACATCTTGGTGTCTTTACTCCCTGTGTCTTTCTTTTTTAACTTTAGATATCTTTGTATGTGAAACACATCATGCCAACAAAAGTACATACAACATACATGCACCCCTTAAGGAACACTAAACATGGGGGTGCCCATCACCCCATCGAAGAGCTAAAAAACATTGCCAGTTCCTATCATATACCTGTGCACCTAAATCCTCATTTATTTCATTTTTAAAAATCAAGTAATTTGCATTCATGTTCATATTATGTTCTTCTTCCTACTTTGTCATATGCATTTGCCTATAATGTCATCATTTTAGGTTGATTTCTTATCTTTAGGGCTTAAAGTAATGGTAGATCATGGACTGGCCTTATCCTAATGATAATTGCTGCTGGTAACCTAATGTATCCCGAGCTCTGTCTAAATTTTTATTTAATTTCATCATACTCTATGAGCTGCAGTAGTTTCTCATTTAACTAATGGGAAAACAGAGTTTCAGAATGTTTCAGTAAGTTGCCAAGGTGGTACCATAAACAACAGATCTGCGATTGGAGTCCAAGGCTGTCTGATGCTAAATTCCTTGTCATTTCTGCCCCTACCAGGCTGCCTTATGGACTACATATTGGAAGTGCAATGCACATTGAGGGAATTGGCCATTAAATATAGTATTTCTGCCTAATTCTAAGCAAGAATAACACACCTAATGAGGCTCTAGTTTTTAGATGGCACTTGTGCCAGAGAAATCCAAATGGAGGCAAACTTCAACAAGAAATGTGGGGGGAAAAATGCTTTCTTGATAATCGGAATGGTATCACATGTAAAAGTTCTGCTTTTATTTGGAGGGCCCTTTGTATTGGCTTGTCTGGTCCCCCCCCCACCACCACTCCCACTCAACCCCCACATTGTGGTAAAGTCTGGGCTTTTGTGTTCTAAGCAGGCCTCCTGCAGTGTTTTCTACATCTGTGCATCTTTAATTACAGTGCGACCTAAGGGAACAGCACGACCCCTTGCTTTTGCCCATGGAGACACTGACCTGTTAATCTAAAAGACTGAAATGGTTGCTATGGTTGCTGCACAGTGACAATGTCGAGCTCAGTGTGACTCGAAAGTCACAGTGCTATGTGTGGATGGGCGGAGACTCAATTTGGCACAGTTACAGTTGCTCATTATATTCTGTAGGTGTAGTCACTATGGCATCTTAGTATATATACTCTGTGACCCTGAAGATGTGTCCAGAAAAAGGGTGTGAGGGCACCTGCCTGGCTCAGTTGGTTGAGTGTCTGCCTTCCACTAGGATCAGGACCCCGAAGTCCTGGGGTCAGGCTCCCCTGCTCAGCGGAGAGTCTGATTGTCCCTCTGCCCCTCCCTCTGCTTGTGGATGCTCGCTCTCTCTCTTTCTCTCTCTCAAATACATAAATGCAATCTTTAAAAGGAAAATTTAAAAAAAGAAATAGAACGTAAGAGGCTGTGTTTGTTGAGGTAGAACAGCAAGCGTTCTAGAAGCAGCATGTAGCTGTGTCCGGTTCTGCTGTAGCTGTTGTTAAATTCCCGGAGGCCGCGGTGGTTCCACTCACCAGGGATCATCTATACAAGCCTCCCCTTCAGCCTCACTAGAGTATCCTGAGGTATGGAAATCCACTGCCTGGGACCAGTGAGCAGCAGAACAGCACTAGGATTTTCCTCAAATACCCATTAAATGCCGACAGCCACCACTACTGCTGAGGACAATAAAAGGAGTGGAGGGAGAAGCTGGTCACCATTAAATGAACATTGGAGTGTTCAAGTTTTTACACTAATCAGTTTGAGTTCATGCTTGAATTAAAATAGGTTTTTCAAAACCTAGAGGGAATAATGACTGCGTGTCATCCTTGCGCAGGGGCCGTGCTAATCTTCTCCATATCGTTCCAATTTTAGTATATGTGCTGCCGAAGCAAGCACCAACATAAAGTTTAACGTGAGGGCGCCTGGGTGGCTCAGTCGGTCAGGCATCTGCCTTTGGCATGGGTCAGGGTCCTGGGATGGAGTCCCACATCGGGGTCCTTGCTCAGCGGTGAGTCTATTTCTCCCTCTCCTTCTGCCCCTCCCCCCTGCTCATGATCTCTCTCTCTCTCTCTTTCTCTCTCTCTCTTGCTCTCACTCTCGCTCTCTCATTCTCATACTCTCTCAAATAAAATCTTTTTAAAAAAGTGTAATGTGTCTTGACCTAATGTCCAAAATGTGAGATAATTCTAAAAAGTTGGAGAATTTCAGAACATTCTCTTAGGAGAGGTTACCCCTAAATATAACAAACCTAATGAAGTTCAGATTGACTCTTTACTTTTTTATTCTAGAAAATACTTTATTTTCTTGGGGCACCTGGGTGGCTCAGGCAGTTAAGTGTCTGACTCTTGATTTCAGTTCAGGTTCTTGATCTCAGGGTGGTGAGATCAAGTTCCATGTTGGGCTCCACACTAGGCAGGGAACCTGCTTAAGATTCTCTCTTCCTCTTCCTTTGCCCCCCCCATCCCTCTTGCACACTTTCTCTCTTTATTATCTTTTTTAAAGATCGTATTTATTTACTCATAAGAGACACACAGAGAAAGAGAGGAAGAGAACCAGGCAGAGGGAGAAGAGGGAGAAGCAGGCTCCATGAAGAGAGCCCTATGTGGGCTCTTCTTGAATTTTTTTTTTTTTTATTTATGACAGTACAGAGAGAGAGAGGCAGAGACACAGGCAGAGGGAGAAGCAGGCTCCATGCACCGGGAGCCCGACGTGGGATTCGATCCCGGGTCTCCAGGATCGCGCCCCAGGCCAAAGGCAGGCGCCAAACCACTGCGCCACCCAGGGATCCCTCTTCTTGAATTTTTAATTTTATTGTACAGAATAACTTTTTTCTCAGAATGACTTTTGATGCCATGCTTTCCTATATTGGTGTTGAGTCATAGTAAGCAAGTCACATAGGTTGCTTTTCTTTTGAACTAGACTGGTAGTTTTTGATGGGGTGGGTGAGCAGGTATTCTCTTGTTGGTTGGTGCTATTTGGAGATGTCTGCCAAGAATCTTGCCTCTCACAAGACTTGATCTGTCGGTAGGTTCTTTTCAAATGCCCCACTAAAGCTGCTGAATCCCTGAACCATCAGAGCTGGCAGCGACTTTGGCAGTGCCCTTGACTTTTAGAGCATCCTGTGCTGACAGAGGAGTGTCAGGATATGTTCAGGTATAAGACCTGCGAGTGCGTTCCTCCCACCCATCCTCCCCATCCTTGCATTTCATCAGCCACTTGCTATGGACTTCTGACAACTCTTATCCTGGTGCTGGGGGAGCAGACAAGATCTTAGGGTCAGTACCCTCACAGTGAGTAAGGGGCAAGAGAGCCAATTACTCTGTTTCTCCACTGCTCAGGTGACCTACCCATAGGTCTTTTTTGCCTTCCTAATTTTTGTAACTGCTACTGTTTCACTGCCACTCTGTCCACCCGACCCCCATGTGTGTCTAGTCAACATTTAAATGTTAAAGGTCATCAAGACTCAGTCCTAGGCTCCCTTCTATCCTTACACTATGCTTTCTCTCTTCTTTGTAACATAGGTGGATAAAGGTGAGATTTCTTCTTTGGGAGATGTCTCGTAAGTGTGTGTCTCTAGGCCAGGCCAGTTCTCTGAGCCCCAGATCTGTCATTGCAGACTCCACGTTCTCCACTTCTGAGTGCGATTTCAAACAAGTGTTCAAATCCAAATTCATGACTTTCTTTTTTTTTTTAATTTTTATTTATTTATGATAGTCACAGAGGGTGGGGGGGCAGAGACATAGGCAGAGGGAGAAGCAGGCTCCATGCACCGGGAGCCCGACGTGGGATTCGATCCCGGGTCTCCAGGATCGCGCCCTGGGCCAAAGGCAGGTGCTAAACCGCTGCGCCACCCAGAGATCCCCAATTCATGACTTTCTAATACCCCTCACTATAATTTTCCCCCAGCAACATGTGCTTTTCTTCATGTCCTCCTCCCATGAAAACACCATCATCCACTAAACTCCACAGCCCAGGAGCCCACATCATCTCTCCCTCACCCTCTGGGCTCAGTAGGGCCCACGTTTGATCAGTCCTGACTCTTGAATCTCTTCTTCATATGGCCATATCTAGGGATCGGGTCCTTGACTCCCTCACTCATGTCCAGCACCACCCCTTCTAGTCATACTTGTTCTCCTCTGTCCCTCAGGTGGATCCTTCTCACCTTAGAGCCCTCACACAAGTGCCCTCTTCCTGGCTACTGCACATATCATCCTACTGATATCGAGTTAAGGGCTGTGTCCTTAGAGGAACCTTCCCTTGATGCTTAGGCCATTCTTCATGGTATAAGCTCTTAGGACCTGTGTGGCTCTCTCAGAAGAAGTTTAGTCCCATAAGAATAAGGACTGTGCCCTTGCTCTCAGCATATTCTTGATCCCTAGAGCAGGACCTGGCGCTAGGTAAGCACTCGGCAAATAGTGAGTGAGTACACGAGCTAGGCTCAGTGTCTAGCAGTTTACATACATCATCCCATTCGAGCCTCAAAATCATGTTTAGATTGCGTAAAGGGCTGGCCAAGGCCACTCTGTAAACAACAAAGCACAGCAGGGAGTCACCCCCAGGGTCAGGGAGTCACCCAAGCCTAGGCTCTTCTCCAAACACCCGCTCTCCCAAGGAAGAAACAGTTGCTGCTCTTAGATTCAGTTAATAAGTTAGTGATGATAAAAGGAGAAAGGAGCAAGGGTTCTTCTCATAAGGGAAATTGAGGGAGAGTTCAAAGAGACTTGCATTTTACAGGTACTGATTTCCTTAGGACAGTTTCTTTAAAAAAAAAAATCTTATGCATTATAAGCTTGAGGAACTCCTCAAGCTTACAGTGAGGAACTGTAGAGTTGGATCAGCAGATTTTGCTGCCAAACCTCTAAGTGACATTCCAAGTTAGCCTTCCACTGCTTCCTGAGATAATCTGTCCTTTAGAGCCCCACTGATCTCTTCCCGCTCTCCAGGCTTGTAGATGTCAATCAGACCACTGTCAGCTTCTTTCCTCTCTACTACCATTTTAGTTCTTATCTTTTGAGACCCCATTTATCCACTGAAGAAATACCTGTTGACCACCCATTATGTTCCAAGCGCTGTGCTGGGATCTGCCTTTATTCCTGTTGCTTGTAAACATTTCCCCACGAGTGCCCCTCTCCTCAGCAACCACCACACTTTTAACAGGAACTGTCATTAGTTATGTAAAAAGGTCTTCACTATACAAATGTGCAAAGCTGCCTTATTTTTTTTTAAGATTTTATTTATTTTTTCATGAGAGACACACAGAGAGAGGCAGAGACACAGGCAGAGGGAGAAGCAGGCTTCCTGTGAGGAGCCCGATGCAAGACTTGATCCCAGGATCATAACCTGAGCCACTCAAAGCTATATTATTTAGACATTGAGCACTTTGTGTACCAGCCACTGTACTAGGAGTAGACACATTCAGTGTTTTATAATCTGTCTGTACTACCAGCATCCAGGCAGGAATGTGCAGGTGACTAGTGTAAAATCAGGAGATACATATAATCCACCAAAGTGGTATAAATTTTAGTCTGGACACCTCTGAGGCCACTCTATATTCTTGGCTCAAACACTGTATAGAAGGTAACCTAATGGACCTCATACTTGGACAGGAGGAAGGACTAATTTATTTTAATTATGAATTTCTCACTCTCTTCCACCCACATCCCTTTTATTTAAGTACAGTTAGTTCACTGCCAATAAGTGTCTTGTTCTCAACATGTGAAAGCTTCTAGCATTTAGTGGGAAATTCATAAATATTACTATCTTTCCTCCAAAAGCAGTGGTGTGTATTTATCTCAGCCTTGAAGTTAATGGAAAAAATATTGACCATCAAGCACACATCTATCTACCCCATTTAGATTTGACCCAAGAGTTAAGCTAGCCAAACTCTATACAATAGACAAAAACAGTGATCTTCAGAGTGGAAAGTGGGGAGAAAAATATGTTAGGACATCTATTTTTTATTTATTGCCTGCCTCTTAAAATTTTCTGTTTTAGACAAAAATGTAGATGATACTTTGGAGCTAATATATAATTATGGCAAGAAAGAAGTATACAAAGTTAATACACAAAAGTTAATCACTTTTCTGTATACTATGAATGAACCAAGTGGAATTTGAAATTAAAAACACACCATTGACATGAGCATCCCCACACATGAAATACTTAAGTATAGACCTAAGAATATATGAGAACTGTATGAGGAAAAGTACAGAACTCTGATGAGCAAATTCAAAGAAGAACAAAAGGACCAGAGATATTTCCTGTTCATGGCTAGGAAGACTTAATCTTGGGGCACCTGGGTGGCTTAGTGGTTGAGCGTCTACCTTTGACTCAGGTCGTAATCCCAGGCTCCCCCCAGGGAGCCTGTTTCTCCCTCTGCCTGGGTCTCTGACTCTCTCTGTGTGTCTCTCATTAAAAAAATAATAATAATAATTTTTAAAAAAAGGAAGACTTCATCTTGCCAAGATGTCAACTCTTCCCAACTTAATCTATAGATTCAGTACAATTCTAGGCAAAATCATAGAAGGTGTCTTGTGTGCTGACAACCTAATGCTAAAGTTTACACAGAGAAGCAAAAGACCCAGGATAGCCAACACAATATTGAAGGAGAATAATTGGAGGACTGACAAAGCCTGACTTCAAACTTACTATAGAGCTCTAGTGATCAAGACAGCTTGGTTGTGGTGAAAGTGTAGACAGTAGATCAATGGAAAGGAATCGAGATCCCAGAAATAGACCCACCTAAGTGTAGTTAACTGATCTTTGACAAAAGAGCAAAGCAATACACTAGAACAAAGATGGTCTTTTTAACAATAAAAGTAAAAGCTCACTGGTTGCCAAGGGTTAGGACAGGGAAGGAGAGATGAATAGATAGAACAAAGAGGATTTTTAGGAGA